TGCTAGGAAATGCATTGCACTGACCTGGAAGTTGAATTCCCATCTCGATCACAAAATGCATCCCTCTGCAAAAATACACTGGGTTAAGACAACAGAATGATGAATTTAGGTTGATTTTAATTTAATTTTGAATCTAATAGATTTTTCATTGCATTTTCCTTTAGTATAGTTTGTTTTAATTCAATTACCAAAAAGCTTTCTTTCTTTCTTTCTTTCTTTCTTTCTTTCTTTCTTTCTTTCTTTCTTTCTTTCTTTCTTTCTTTCTTTCTTTCTTTCTTTCTTTCTTTCTTTCTTTCTTTCTTTCTTTCTTTCTTTCTTTCTTTCTTTCTTTCTTTCTTTCTTTCTTTCTTTCTTTCTTTCTTTCTTTCTTTCTTTTTCTTAGATTATTAAAAAAGTGAAATGCATTGGGTTAAGAAAACAGAATAATAAATAGAGAATAATTTAAATTGAATTTTTAATTATAATAGATTTTTTTCTTGCTTTGTCCGTTAGCTGTTTATAATTTCTGTGCATCTTTTTAAATGGTCATCTAATGTTTATATTTTAGTTTATTTTAGATTTATTTCAATTACCGGAAACCTTTTTTCCCTTTTTTTAAATGATTTAAATAAAGCATGAAATGCATTGGGTTAAGTAAGCAGAATGATGGATTTAGAATAATTTGAAACATTTTTAAAAACATTTATTTGATTGATTTCTTGCTTTTTCCTTTAGTAACATTTATAGGTCATTGTTGAGATACCTGTATTTGCTAATTTTGTATTTCAAAATGAACTTGATTTACTAAAAACAATGTTTATATATATTTTTTTATAAACATTTATGTATTTATTATTTCAGTTTTAGTTTTAACCATTTTAGTACTGCAACTTATTGCAGTTATTTGCCAAGACAACAATTCTAATTGTAAGGTTTTACAGTACATCTAAAATGTATAGTCTATTTCAGCTTTATTTTAATTTACAATTTTTATTATATTTTATAAAAACAAAATAATAATACAAAAAGTAAAATGAAAGAAACCAGAATGATAACTTGAGGATGATTTAAATTTAATTTTCAGTTTTAATTGGATTTTTTCTTGCTTTCTTCCTTTTATTTATAGGTCATTGTTGAGATATCCATATTTGAAAATAGGAAAACGTGTGTAATTTGTTTTTAGTTTTAGTTTTAGCCATTTTAGAACATAATTGATAATTAGAAATGTTGCTAACTGAAATAGGTTGACATTTTTCATCTGTATAAACAGAAAACATTTTTAATTATTTAAAAAATGCATTGGTTTAAAAATGATGAATTGGGATGTTTTTAATATAATTTTTTATTTTAATTTAATTATTTTTTCTGTCTTTCTCCCTTCCATTTCAAAGTCATTGTTAAGATTCCTGTATTTGAAAATATCCAAATACTCTATTTTTAAAATGATACAATTTTCTAATGGAAATGTAAGTTGTGCTTAACCGACTAAAACCCCCATGATGCTGGGATGTTATGAGTGGTTACCAGGGTGTTGCTATGTGGCTGCTAAGCTGTTCAGAGGAGCTTTAGTGTTGCTAGGGTTGTTCTGGATAGTTTCCATAAAAGTAAAAAAAAAAAAATCAATATATATAAAATGTATTTTCAAAGTTATTATTATTATTTTTTTACTTCTAATTAATCATTTTATCAATTTGAACCTTATTGTTATTATTATATAAAAGGTTTAAATGAAACCTTTTAATACCTTATACATATATTTATAGGTATTTTTTATTATTTTATATATGTGTATGTCTGTACTTTTTTGCTTTCACTTTTCAATTTTAGAGTAATTTCTATATACCTTGAATTTAATTTAAGTCAATATTTCAGTTTTACGTTTAGTCATTTTATTACATTAACTTATTGACTTTGCGAAGGCAACATTTTTCAAGTTTAAAGGTGACATATTATGCCCCTTTTTACAATATGTAATATAAGTCTCTGGTGTCCCCAGAATGTGTCTGTGAAGTTTCAGCTCAAAATACTCCACAGATCATTTATTCCACTGCTCTGTTATCTCCTCTCAGGCTGGGACTCTAAATTGTGTTCTGTGCTCGTCTGTGCAGCCAAAGACAGAACAGTTAACATGTTTTGCTCAAACTTTCGCCATGGCATTAGAACTAATACACCGTTGTCACTTGTCACTATATATATATACAAAACAATAATTAAAAAATGTTATATATTATATATAGTTGTTGTGCTCTATTAAATAAAATGTAATTTAATTAAATGGAAGTACATTTAAAGGTGTTACTCACTGAACTATAGCACAAAATGAAATATTTCTATTGCTATGTAATGTCTGTTGAGTACCATTGTTTATACACAGGTCTTGACAACCATGGCTAATGAAACCCGAACTAAGCTAACCTCTAGCTAGCATTAGCCAATAGAGTCCTCAGCTTCAGCATAGACACCAGATGAGTGTGGATTTCTCCTCCAAAGCATTGATGTGAGCTCTTCAGTTCCCATTTTCAGGTCAGGGATTTGTAATAAGAGGAGACAGGAGTAAACCGGCTGCTTTTGTACCTGGTGAGCCTGGCGAGAAACCATAAAGAAGTCAGGAAGTCTTATAGAGGAAGAACCTGCGCTAGTAACTTTTAAAACAATAGGGATTTGAAATCTAATCTGAGGGCAATTTACAGCATCTCTCTTGACTGGAAAGTTTAGTCCTCAGGGAAATGGATCACCGTTAGATCATTGTAAAAGCTGACATCCCATCAGCACTGTGAGGCTAGCTAGTCAAATCCCACCGCTGCTAGTCTGTTTTCATTGGCGACTACTGACGGGCTGTTTAACTAGGACTGCTGTCCAACATGTGAAATTAAGAAAACCTCTACACACACATTCATGGTAATAGAACTGTACAAGCAGAGATGTTACATTTTCCAAACGAAAATGAGCAAGAATTTGTAGAATGCCGAAAGAAACTGGCCTTTCCCACAGAACAACTGCACATTATCCATCAGAGGAGCCTGGTTAAAATAGAGGTACACTGCTGTTCACAAGTCTGGGGTCAGTAAGATTTATATTTATTTATTTATTTGAAGGAAATTCATACTTTTATGCCACAAGAATGCATTAAATGATCAACAGTGAGAGTAGGCATGGGCCGGTATGAGATTTTGACCGTATGATAACCTTAAGCAAAAAATATCACGGTATCACGGTATTGTCGTTACAGCTCTAAAATGTGTTATTTTTAAATGACTGGGTAAAAAACAACAACTTTTTTTCCGCTGAACACAATATATTTTCTTCTTGAGCAACATACAGACTATTCAACGGTATAACGGAAAATATTAGCGGTTTTGAAACCGTGAAATTTTCAAATCGCGGTATACCTTGAACCCGGCAATCGGCCCATGCCTAAGTGAGAGTAAAGTAATTTCATAATGTTACAAAAGATTTATATTTCAAATAAATGCCGTTCTTTTGAATTCTCTATTCATCAAAGAAAAAAAAAACTTTTTTACTGTACATTTTTTTGGTGAGCATAAGAGATTTAAAGAAACAGATTGGGATAGATAGACAGACAGACAGACAGACAGAGACAGATAGATAGACAGACAGACAGACAGATAGATAGATAGATAGAATTTAGTTTTCAATGATCTTCACACCATTTTTTGTACACAACAGAAGTTTAGGCTCCAAAAACAACCAGAAAACACCATTAAAGCCATAAAAGTAGTTAACATAATTTGTGCACTACATTGAAAGAAAACCACATGATAGCTTTGCGTGATGGACAGTCTGAAATTTGAAGAAAACTAGTTGTTAATCCCTGAAAGTCTTGCCCTCCACTTCAGCACTTGAGTCTCTTCCAGAGACTCTAAATTAAACGCCACCATGCTTACGAACCAATAAAATCAATGATGTCAATCTTGACATGTCATTTTTAAATCTTATGTGAAATAAGATTTCTGAACAGAGTTGTTCACAAGTCTCTCGTGTCTTATTGCTTAATTACAGTCCTGGTTGCTCTTGGGATCAGACACATGGGAGGTTGTGTTCGGTAAATGTGAGCTTCAATTGATTTGACACCAAATAAAAAGGCGGTCAGAGTTAGACGTGAGTATATTTAGCTCTTTAAATTGTATCAACACACATGATAGTTTGAGTGGGTAAAGAAACCAAGCAGAAGTATTCTGGAGCACTGGGAGCCCGGCTAATGTTCAAGGTCAGTGTGTAGCCGGTGTCCAAGAGGGATTTACTGGTGGGAAGAGAGAAGCAGCTCAATGGATAGGTGGACGACCAAACATAAATAATACTGGAGAATGAATTAGTGTTTTTCTTAAAAAAAAAATTTTCATCCAGCAATAACAGTCACAATTGAGAGCGATATGATTTTTCAGGGCAAAACGAGAAATATGAGATCTAAAAGTAGAGGGCATCATTGAACTGCCCATTCACACCAAGGACGGTACCTTGGACGGATGAAGATATATTTTTAAAAATGAAAAAAAATAAAAATAAATAATAGATTTAGTATTTGGAAAAAAGATTTTTTTAGATTTAAAACTTCTAAATTTTAAAGAAAAGTCAAAACTATAACGATAACAGCACAGAAGATTTTTTTCTGATGAGCGATAAAAACATTGACAGCCAATCAGAATCCACTCACTTGGTGTGAACGAGTCTTAAAAGGATAGTTCACCCAAAAATGACAATTCTGTCCTCATTTACTCACCCTCAAGTTCTTCCAAACTTGTATGAGTTTCTTTGTTTGGTTGAACACAAAAGAAGATATTTTGAAGAATGTTGTTAACCAAAGAGTTGACGATAGCCATTGAAAATATGTTTTTTCTTGTCAACAGATCAGCAAATGCCTGGTCATTCAGATTCATACATCTAACATCAGAAATCGACTGCAATGAAGAATGGATTCTGCATTTTAAACTGGGGTTCGAGAAAATGTTTAAAATAAAAAAGTATTACACTTCAGTAAATGTTGATGTTTTTGTGTCTTGCAGTCCTCAAGAACGACCCGCTCGGATGAGGAGAGGGACACCGGTTGGGACGCCTGGGGCGCATGGAGTGACTGTTCTCGCACCTGTGGAGGCGGAGCCTCGTATTCTCTACGCAGGTGTCTCAACGGAGGGTGAGCGAATGCACATACATGCATTCATATCTTCATGACATCTCAAACACAAACCCTTCCTTTAAAGCCACTGTATTTAATCTTGAAATATCAGTTTCAAAATTATTCTGATGGCACACTGACTTCTAATAAGGCGAGGGCATATGTAAGAGAGTATGTAAATTTGGTGAGCATGTACGAAATTCTGTGAAGACGGCAGATTGCTTTATGACAGCAACATATGTCTACAGTATTACACTGTAATTAAGTGATATATTTACGACAGTGATTTCCAACCACTTAAAGGGGTCATAGGATGCCCATTTTCCACAAGTTGAAGGTGTTTGAACACAGTTGTGTGGCCGCAGTGTGTGAAAACAACCAGCCTATAATGGTAAAAATCCACCCACTCATTGTTTTATAATCCCAATAAATCATAAACAGTCTCTCCACACTAGCAGTTCCAGATTTCTCACTACTATGACGTCGTACTCGGGGAAAGTCCCGCCCATTTGTGACTCTTTGCCCTATTAGCATATACACAGCCCTGAGTCAGAAGCAGTGGTCCGCCATTACTGTTTTCTTGCTGGAGATACAATGTCAGCACCAAAGAGCCATTAAAAGTGTCGTGTGTTGGGATGCACCAACGAACATAGGAGTCTCCATAGACCGCTGAGGACACGGTGGTTAAATTTCATTTTCGAAGGAAATGTTTCGGAAAAAAACAGAAAAGTCCTATACGTTTGTGCTAACATTTTACGCCAGACTGCCTCACAAATGACGGTCAGTTCAGCGCTGGAGTTGTGCAAAGATTGCTTCTGAAAGAGGGATCGATACCAACGCTTCGTCTGCAAATGTCCACACTCCAGACAAAGTAAGCATCACGCCTCATATTTTGTTTTCCAAAAGAGCTTCTTGGCTCTCTGTAAGGCTAATGTTGCTAAAGCTACCATTGTCTCTGCCTGTTTTCACTAATGCTGCCTTCACGTGCTACCAGAATGATCGTAAATAGGAATGTGGTAGTTAAAAATTGCATTTGGAAGCAATGTGAGGTTAGTAACATGGTCACCACCAGTTAAACTGTAACACCGGTATGCCCGCGAGCATGAGCTCTTGAAGCTCCGCACTCTTCTGAAAAGGGAGGTGGGAGCACCAGCTCATTTTCATTTAAAGGGGACAAACACAAAAACAGCGCGTTTTGGCTCAAACCCTGAAAGTGGCAATTTCAACAAGCTATAAAAAATTATCTGTGGGGTATTTTGAGATAAAACTTCACATACACACTCTGGGGACATCAGAGAACAATTTAAAATATTGTATCAATGCATTCTATGACACCTTTAAATCTACACTGTAAAAAAATCTCTGTCTTATTTACCCCTTAAAAAAACAACTGTTTATAATAAATGGTTTTTGCAAGTAAAAACTCCAAATTATCCATCATGAAAAACTGTAAATAGCAGATCATTGCATTATATTGTAATTTTACTGTAAAATACTGCTAATTTTTAAAAACTATGAGTTACATTATAACTTACAGTGAAGAACATTTAAAATCAGTAAAGCTTTTATTGAGTCAACTTTAAAAACGTTATTACCTGTCGGCGCCAATAGCCTCGTGGTTAGTGTGTCGACATACAGTGCAACTCTGCTCACAGTGACCCGAGTTTGATTCCCGTCATGAGGTCCTTTGCCGATCCCGCTCCCTGTCGTCTCTCTCTACTGTCCTATCTATATAAAATGCATACCCCCCCCAAAAAAAAACAAACAAACTTTATTACCCATAAAATTGTTAATTTACAATAAATTTCTAGTTGAATTATTGTCAACCTTATAAAAAGTCAAAATAATGGTTTTACTTAAGTTGACTGTTTTGTTACATTATGTGTTATTTAGTGAATGTTTAACGCTGTTATCCTGACATGTGATATTCATCATGTAGTTTTATCTTGTGTATTATCATGATGGTTATCAGTACACTTTAAGGTGAAAAGCCAAATTTGATAGTTCAAGTACAATGCTATATTGACATATCAACTGATGCACTATACAGTTATAAGCTGTATACTCGCAGCAATTTGCCATCCCATAATACCTGAAACAATGCCACCATAGTT